GGAGGAGGGGCGAGGAGGCGCGTCGGCCATCCACCCCATGTGGCTGAATTGTGCAGACAGGTAAATGCTGACACATGCCACAAAGATCACAAGCTCGAGTCCTCTAACGGAAACAGATGTATAGTACATACAATCATGTAAGGGACTTCCCCCTTTTGCGAAATAACAAAGATACTGCAGTTGTGGGTGCGCGACATGTAGGAAACTGCGCGCGGTTTCGGCCGTTCGAATTTCCCGCTGGCGCTTCATAGATGGAGAACGCGGGACATCATGTGGTCTCCTCTCGCGCCCACCGGCGCGAGGGTGTCTGATTGTCAAGAGAAGCGCGCTGCACCGTAAATATTTTCAACGCAGGCTTTCAAAACTTGCCTGCCCTTCCCGCCAACCACGCGTCAACTGGCGGGGAACCATTTGATGCGCGATCGTCAACATCATTGTGACAGGTAGCTGTGCTTGCAGGGATCCCATATATATAGGCTTAGGAGGAGTGGTAGGAAGGCAGTGAAAGTGAAGTTGAGAGAAGATAATAGCTCAGTTTTATATAGACAATACGTAACAAAAAGCGCATCCTATAGTCTGGCGCCGTGCGCTGTGGCACGCGAGTTGCGAATCGGCAGAATCTAAGCAGAATGAGGTGAAGCCCACGTTGACTTGGTAGGGGTATCTGGAGGGTATCACGACCAGATTCGTTTCGCAAAAATCCTATTGGGAGTGTGGCGTCGGGTACACACACACACACACACACACACACACACATGCACCTAGCCGCAATAGGTGCATGAACGTTTGTGGCTGCCACATCGAAGGATCAAAAAGCAACGTCGCTATGAACGCTTGTGGCTTCCACAAGCCAGTTGTGCCTGTGGTAAATTTTCTGACACCAGGTCTAGCTTCTGCGCCCCTCAACGACTACACGCCAGACATCCCTGCTTGGGATGATGATATAGTCTGAACTAAGTCCTGAAACACCGAAGGATCACAGTTTGTATTCCTACTGGAAATCCAAGTCAAATGAGCTTTTGCTCTTTTGCTCCACACGAGATTTCTGTTCTGTTGAGCTCATCTTAGGACACCTGCGTTAGTATCTTCTAACAGACGTGGGCCCCCAGCCAAACTCCCCGTCTGACGATGTCTTCCGCTTGGATCGGACAGGCCAAGCTGCCACTTATTCTACACCTCTCAAGTCATTCCACAGAGTCGAACTAGAGTCAAGCTCAAACAGGGTCTTCTTTCCCCGCCGATTCTTCCAAGCCCGTTCCCTTGGCTGTGGTTTCGCAGGATGATAGATAGGAACAGTGGGAAACTCGTTAAGAAAAATGCCCCGGGCGCTCTCCTGGCGGCAATTGGGTTGATCTTTCTGCTTCCCTTCCCATGTTCCGCTCTTTCACTTCGCGTCGCCGGAGCTCCCGTCCCTCCATATCTCGTCTCACCCCTCCATATCTCGTCTCACCAGCTTGTTCTCAATGCTGCTGCTGCCTCCTCCTTGCAGCCTGCTTCGCGCACGAAAGCCTGGCTCGTTCGGCGCGATCGTGAGCAGAAACAAGCTGCTGCTGCAGCAGCGTGATTGGCTTTTGGGAGTTGGAGGGAGCAAACAAGCAAGCGGTTGGTCGGAAGGGGTATAGCCAGTGAGCGCCTATTTCATTTTGTCTCGTAAGCGCCGTAGCTCGTGCCCCATCTTGCTGCTGCTCCAAGCTACTGCTGCTGCTTCTGCCTGCCTCTTCGCAGTCTGCGTGACGCACGAAAGGTTCTGATTAGCGCGGCGCGATCGTGAGCAGAGAAAGCTGCAGCAGCAGATTAGCGGTAGCAGCAGCACCGTAGTCATCGATCGAATTGTCCGGGCGAGTGGCGGAAAGCAGTAGTGGTTAGGCGGGGCGGAGGGTAGAGGAGGGAACGAGCCATTGAGCAGTGCATGATTACTCAGTCAGTCTAGCAACCCTGCCCGCTGCTTCTGTCTGCCGCCCCCAAGGTGGAAAGAGAAGCCGTTATCAGCTTGGTAGTGTCGACTGTCGTCTCCTCCCTCCGCCTCCTCCTCCTCCTCCTCTCGACTCTTCCCTTCCTCCTTCTCCAGGATCTCCTCCTTACCTGCAGCAGAAACAACTGAAAGACTTCCAGCAGGTTCCCTCCGCCTCCTCCTCCTCCTCCCCCTCCTCTTCCTCCTCTCGACTCTTCCTCTCTCCTGCTCCAGGATCTCCTCCTTACCTGCAGCAGAAACACCTGAAAGACTTCCAGCAGGTCGACTCCATCGCCGTCACTTAACTGCCCTTCCTCCTTCCTGCTGCACGCCGCCATGACTGCGGCTGTGAAACTAGCCGTTACACCATCTTCCGAGGCGATTGCCATGACTGGGCCGGTTGGCAGACCCCACCAGGCCCAACGTCCCTCTCCCGCCCAACTGGAATGTAACCATGCGTGCGCACGAATCGCTGCTTCTCTGTCATCGATAGTCGGCGGGCGCCGAGAAGGCGGAGGCCCTCGAAAGCGCCGGCTCGATCATCCCTCCTCCGCCGCCGGCGGGACTAGATGTACAGCGGTGATGGCGCGATTCTTGGGCGGAGGTGACAGGAGCATCCGCGCCCCGCTCGTCGCTGGGCGAAGAGCTCCCGCCGCTATAGCCCCGAGGAATTTCTCGTCAACGCTTGCGCTTACGGCTTTCGGCGGACGAAGGACGAGTCGGAAAACACTCAGGAGTTTCCCATCTTTGTCAGAGTGTTACGGTCGTAAGGGATCTGAAGCGGATCTGGAACGTGAAGCCTTGGCCGCCGGCTGTAGCCAGTCTTGCCGCTGCTCGAGGATAACGTCGGCATCGCCTCAGCGTCAGATGCTGCAGTGGAGTAGACGACGATCTCTGAGTCACGGCTGTCGACTCGGGCGTATGGCGATCGGGCGTGGAAGATCGGCAGGAGAGCGGAGGCTTGTGGCCGTCGCGTTCAAGCAATCGCCGGAGGGAGAGGGGGAGAATCAACATGAGCAAGGAGGGAAATCGCCTCCAGCGCCACCGTCGATGTTCTCGGTCAAACAACTCCTCCTCGGAGCGGGGAAAGGAGGAGAAGCGCAACTGATGGCAGCCTCGTCAGGAGATGCTGGGGAACGAAGTGTTGACGTCGGTCTCGGACCCGGCGCAGACAGGGTAACTTCGCCACCGTGCGCCGTACGTGTGCGTGTGTGTGTGTGTGTTTGTTGTGTGTGTGTGTGTGTGTGTGTGTGTGTGTGTGTGTGTGTGTGTATAATTTGTTTGGTTGTTCTCTGTGGTACCGCGGCACCTGTGCTTTTTCATCTATTAGCTCAAAGAGAAGTTTCCACTGGTGCTCCTTTCTTTAATGGTACTATAATACCTAT